CTAACAAAGCGTATCTCACTGCCTGTTCTCACTTCCTTTGCACTTTGTAGTTCTCTTAACTGAATGACCTCTCTTTCCTTCTCTCCACTCTATTTTCTCTTCCTATTGAAGATACAATTCATATTCCTCGAATTCAGGCTCTAACTTTGTCTTTCAATGTTTATTTTTCTCTGTGATCAAGGTATTGGATTGTTCTAACTTGTATGTTTCTTTCCAAATACAATGTATATCACCAGATCTTTTCTATATCCTCTTAATGATGATCCTTTACTCTCTACTACCTATGATAAGATGCAGCGCATGGTCAACTTGCTTAAAAGTAGGTAAAATGAGATACTAAGACTCAAGTGTCCACATTTGCAGTCACTGGTAACCCTGGTTTAGGTTTATGGGAGAAAGTATGGAAACTACTATCTAATAATGGTTTGGATATTCATACCTAGTCATCCATGCCAACTGTTTTTTGATGCTGTGCCATTCGTTACCATATAGGGCACTGCTCCTTATTGTGCCTTTAACATTCAAGACACAATTTATTACTCAATATGAAGCAGTGAAATCAGCATGTGCTCATATGTGTATACATGTATCTTTGCTTTAACATGGACCTAAATTTAAAGGAAATTCCATGAAAGCTGTAAACCGATTTAAAAAATTACCTCAACTTTGACCATTATTTTCATGGCTCCCTGCAATAAAATAGAGTCCGTTTGTTCTTAATATTTGTATGATTTAGTGATATTCCATAGAATAATTCAATTTCAAAAAGGCAGTGAACAATAGATGTGGTAGAAGGCCCTGAAGGGAAGAAATGGGTTAGAGAGAATCAGTAAAACTAAAAATATGCACCATCAGACTTCCAAAGCAAAGCCAGCTATAAGGGAGCAGAAAGCATCATGAGAAATCTCTTATTTCGTGCTGGCACTGGGGGCAAAGATTTTACTTTTTAATTTCTTGAGGACAAATTGACTTTGTTAACACAGCATCTTTATTTTTACCACATCATTTTAAATTATATTTACAGTTTTAAAAGAAAATCTTTAGCTAAATTAAATTTAGCAGAGTTTATTTGAGGAAAGAATAATTCATGTATTGGGCAGCCCTCAGAACCAGGAGAGTTTCAGAGAGCCCCACCCAACATCAGCAGGCACTATTACATGGGAGAAGGAAATGACATGCAGAAACAGTTTGATTGGTTACAGTTCAGCATTTGCCTGATACAGACATGCTCTGATTGGTTGGCAGTCTGTGATGGGCCAAAGCTCAGCTGCTGTGATTGGCTGAGGCTCAGCCACTTGTTTTAAGAATATGTTCTTAAGTTAGACTGAAGTTTGTTTTGTACAGAGGCTGCTTTAGGCCGAATTTAGTTTAATTTAGCAAGAGTTCTATTATCAATACCAATCTGTAGATTACTATAATTAATCTATATTTGTCCACTACTCCTTTTGTGAATTGGAAAACCTAAAAATCTGTGGAAACTTTTTATAATCCTAGGGTGACAGAATATATTACCAGACCTTAATGAATTTGGTGATGAAATCAAATTGACAAAATTATTTAGTTTTTGTCTATCCCACTTGTGGCAAATGTTTATACATTTTGCTGCTCAAACAATGTTTGACTATAGAGGGAAGCTCTAGATCACTTGGACATGTGATATAATGTACTATAAGGATACTATTATCTGACTAAAATTCAAAGTTTTCTGAAATTGGAAACTTATCTGGCCCTGATGATTTGGATTAGTAATTGTGGATCTGAGCTCATTTTCTCCTTTGATTTTATCAAGAAGAAATTTTAAATTATGTGCTACAATCTTGAAAATGTTTCTTTAGTACCTTGAAGTTTCTCAATGTCTCTATCATGAAGGAAGTAGCTGAGTCAGGTTTTAACAAACAAAGAAGAACTCTGGGTACAAATTATACAAGGGACTGAAAATAATTTAAAACATGATAAAATATCAAGGAGCACAATTCACAACTCAAGAATGTGAAGAGTTTTATGTATTTTGTTCTTTAACTACCTTAAGTATGTGCTGAATGAGTATATGTACACACAATATATATACACACATATACATATAAAACCTACACATGTAAATATTTCATCAGTCTAATGACAGACTTGGAAAGCAGAATGGGAGTTGCTGAATGTGTATGTATATGCCTCATGCCTTATTCTCACAATAGATCACAGTAGTAGTTCAAAAGCTGATGCTTAAATCCAATGTGGTGTCTCTGATGAAAAAAAAAGATGCTTATTATAGATGTAAATATACATATACACATAATCTCTACCCACTAGACTATTGGCCATCAAATATTTTTCCTATGTAATTGTAGAAAATTAGTATTTTTCAGTATTTTATCCATTAGAGTTGCTGGAGTATTGGTTCTCTATGTATGGTGCCAAATTCCTGGGAGGATAGTTTTTGGGTGGTTACTGTTTACCTGAGTAATTCAGAAGGCATCTGAGTTGTGCACAAAGCACTCTGTTGGCAGTAGAGTGAGTCAGGCACAAGTCCTCTGTTTATGCTATGCTCCGACTCCCAGGAAGCTCCACCTGCCCTCTTTATTTATTTATTTATTTATTTATTTATTTATTTATTTATTTATTTTTTGAGATGGAGTATTGCGCTGTCACCTGGGGCTGGAGTGGAATAGTACGATGTCAGCTCACTGCAACCTCTACCTCACAGGCTCAAGCAATTCTCCTGCCTAAGCCTCCCGAGTTGCTGGGATTACAGGTGCCTGCCACAATTCCCAGCTAATTTTTTTGTATTTTTAGTAGTGATGGGGTTTCACTATGTTGGCCAGGCTGGTCTCGAACTCCTGACCTTGTGACCTGCCCACCTCGGCCTCCCAAAGTGTGGGATTACAGGCATGAGCCACTGCACCCGGCCTCCACCTGCCCTCTTTAAGGTGAAAGTCTGGCTTATCACTGTTATAAATAGGGCAGGGCATGGCATTTGGACAATCTGCATTTACTGAGGGTCCACCTGCCAAAATCTGAAGAAGACACTGAGAGCTGTTACAATGTTACTAGCAGGCAGAAAAGTCTTTCTCTGTAAGAACTCACAATATAAGCAGAAAACAGGGTAATCACATAATAAAGGAATTATCTAAGGTATATTAATAAAAGCGCATTGATAGTGTTATTAATATGCATTATGAATGTCAAATTCAATAACATATTCAGATGAAAACTATGAAGGCCTGGACTTGCTGAAGGCACGGTTTTCACCTTTGCGTTTGGTATGCAGGTAGGTATTGCAGAATGTGCTCTTTATAGAGGTTAAGAAGATGTTGTAATGGAAAAAGGAATACAGCGCACAGCTAAGTTCCCATCTAAACTTGGTGCCACAGCAAAAAAAATAATCAACAAAGTGAAGACACCAATCCGCAGAATGGGAAAAAGATATTCACCAACTACCCATCTGACAAGGGATTAATAACCAGAATATATAAGGAGCTCAAACAACTCTATAGAAAAAAATCTAATAATATGATTTTGAAATGGTCAAAATCTCTGAATAGACATTTCTCAGAAGACATACAAATGGCAAACAGGTATATGAGAAGGTGCTCAACATCACGATCATCAGAGAAATGCCAATCAAACTACAAAAAAATATCACCTTACCCCAGTTAAAATGGTTTTCATCCAAAAACAGGCAATAACAAATGCTGGTTATTTGTCATTGGAGAAAAGGGAAACCCTCATACACTGCTAGTGGGAATGTAAATTAGTACAGCCACTATGGAGAACAGTTTGGAGGTTCCTCAAAGGAGCACAGATAGGACTACCATATGATCCAGCAACCCCACTGCTGGGTATATGCCCCAAAGAATGGAAATCGGTCTATTGAAGAGGTATCTACATGCCCATGTATATTTATATTGCAGCATGTTTCACAATATCCAAGATTAAGAAACAACCTGTGTCCATCAACAGGCAAGTGGATAAAGAACTGTGGTACAGGTGTAGAATAGAGTACTCTTCAGCTAAAGGAAAGAATGAGATCCCGTCATTTGCAACACTATGGATGGAACTGGAAGTCTTTATGTTAAGTGAAATAAGCCAGGCACAGAACAACAAACTTTGTATGTTCCCACTTATTTGTGGCCGCTAAAAATTAAAGCAATGGAACTGATGGAGATGGCAAGTAGAAGAATGGTTACCAGAGGCTGAGAAGGGCTGTGGGAGGATGGGAGGAGAGTGGGGATGGTTGATGCATGCAAAAAAGAGTCAGAAAGAATGTGTATGATCTAGTATTTGATAGCACAACAGAGTGACTATGGTCAATAACAATTTAATTTTACAATTACAAATAACTGAAAGGATGTAATTGAATTGTTTGTAACACAAAGAATAAATACTTGAAGTGATGGAAACCCCACTTACCTTGATGTGATCATTACATTATTATATGCCTGTATCAAAATATCTCATATACCCCATAAATATATACACCTACTATGTAATCACAGCAATTAAAAATTAAAATAAAAATCATAATAGAGTTGGTGCCAGTAAAAAGATGAGAGAATGAATTGTAAATGAAGGATTAGCTCTGAAGCCTCGGGCACAGAGAGACATAGAGCTCCCATACTGCCTCCTGTCAGCTCTTGAAAACATTCCACCGACTGTATCATGGCCGTTATTTTCGAGTATGGGAACCCCTTTTGTTTCCTAACAAAAAGTCAGAATTTTTCCATTTCTTAGCCATGATGTGAAAGGAACTTATGATTTCTTTCTCCAAACTCTGGGGGCCTTGTGAGTGAAACAGAGAGGGCAGACCATGCTTCAACATGAATGCAGCAGCATCCTTTGGAAACAATCTCAAGACCTAACTGAAAACCCATGTTTCTAATTTAAGCATGAGACAGTTATTACTCATACAGCCAGAGAGGATTCCAAGTCCCTGCCTATTTGCAGCACTATCTAAAAACAATCAACTCATCTTTCAAATCTGACCAAACTACAAATGGTATGAAACTCAGTCGTTTATTAAGGATGTTCATTTTGGCACTCAGCAGCTTACGAATGGCTCACAGATGGCATCTGTCTCGTTTTGCGTAATCCAATCATCCTGTACTACTGCGTCTCACACTTAGTCTCCAGGAGTAATTGAAAAGCTCACAGTGACAATTGTGTCTTCTTCCAGATGTCATCACTATAAGGACTGGGGCTTTCATCACCTCCTTGACGTAGGATGTGTACATGGCTCTCCAGGTCAGACTTGCTCCAAGCAAGGTAAAGAGAAATTGCTTCTTTGCATTGCCTTTCAGTTGCTGCCTAGCACTGGTGTAAATGAATATGTTCTATAAATGGCCTCTCTGTCAGTGGGCAACTTGTTTCACTTTTGGCTGGGTACCATACTGAAAACATTCTGCTGCACGGCTTGCATCTTGTGGTAATTGGGCAATATAAAGGCACCCATGCCCAAGAAAGGATTCTAAAACATGTAAATAGTGGCTGTTTTGAAGGCACCATTTATTTAGAGGTAAGCTCTCTGGTGTTAACACCTGCACGTCTGCTATCATTTTCTGAAATCATGACAGTTTGTTCTCAATTTTTTTTTTCCGGGTGGTGGATTTTATTTTCGTAACTTCTGAAGGATGTGCAAAATTTTAAAGGCAAAGTATTGAAACATTTCAAGCTGTAGGTTTGTTAGTTTCTTTTTCCCCTGAGTCTAGTGTTAATAGTTGTGTTTTACTTCAGTGTAAAAATACCCCTTTAAAAAAAAAATCAAAGATTCTGAAACAAGGAAATACGCAAAGCCTCAAAGCAGCTGTGTAAATTCACACAGGCTTTGGGCCTGTAACGAGCCAGCCTTAAGGGAATGAGAGTGGAAAATCAGATTTTTACTTAACAATTAAATTACAATTATGAATGAGTGCTACATTCATTTTAGTAAAATATCAGCACCGTGTGTATTTCCTCAAGCTTTTTCTGCACACTGCCATCATCACCACGTACGTCATCAGTAAGAAATGCTGAGCATGACAACACATAAGAAAATTTTTCAAGGTCAGTAAAAACATTATTTCAGGAAAAATATTTTTTTAAAACTTATTTTTAAGGGGTTTTTAAACTGTTCATAATTTATGTATAGATTTGGGATTAAACTAGCACGAATAACTTCTACTGAAGAGATAAAAATTAAACTATAAAATCGTTTCTCTTAAGTAGCTTACACAAAGAATGAGGACTCTATATTTAGTCGGGGCTTATACACACACATACACACACACACACACACACACACACACACACACACACACACATTCATTGCAGGGAAAATATCCAGATAGTTGCTGCAGTCCCTATCTTAGAATCATCTGAGCTTCATGTGTAGAATTACAGCCTTAGGACTTTAGAAGAATAGTGAATATGTTCGAAATAGGTTGTTGACTATCTGAATGCTCATGATACATCCCTTTAAATTGTGAGTTAACTTTTCTTTTAAGTGCTTGTTCACTGTCAATATTATCAGCACAAAAATTACTGATCTGCTCATAAATTAATAGTAATAGCAAAAGTGACCTTCATGTAGAGATAACTCGAATACTCAACAAACATTTACTGAATGCATGCAGTGTGCCAGGCATTGGGCTAATTAAATCCCCTCTATCTCTACACTTTAAATGAGAGAAAAGCTGACTCACAGCAAAGAGTCATGGCCAAAGGCCATTTAATTAATTTGCTGTCTGGGAAAATAGCACAAGAACTGGGAAGAAAGCCCAAGTATGAGGACTGCTCAATTGTTCAGAATACAATGTGTTCTACTCCAGTAGACTACATGTTTCCTAACTATGTTCAACTAATGTAAACTTCCCTCTGTAAAACAAATGTAAAAATCTCAGAAGCACAACACATTCCTGCGTATCCTCAGAGGTTTTCACTTGAACTGGAGAGTTTCATACATATAGGCAATTTCAAAGGGAACTGCTTATTGGTAGGATGGATCCTTTGCTGTGATTCTGCAGGTGAGAGAGTCATACCTCATGATTTCTCCGGGAATTGTCCAAAAATCTACAATGCAGGCTTTCTCATGGGGAGAAGTAGGAGAGAAAGTGTTACCTATTGAGCACACACAGCACTTAATATTAAGAATTTTATACATGTTCAGAATTCAAATCCCTTATGAAACTTTATCTGTAGATGAGTAGAACCAAACTCAGAAAATAACAAGCCAATGTCACACACTTGCCAGTGATGAACTGGGGGAGAAACCCCAGTGTATCTGACCTACAGTCCATGTACTTTTTAACAGACTATGGTTCTGGCTGGGAGCGGTGGTTCATGTCTGTAATCCCAATGCTTTGGGAGGCCGAGGCGGACAGATCACTTTAGGTCAGGAGTTTGAGACCAGCCTGGTCAACATGGAAAAACCTCATCTCTACTAAAAATATAAAAATTAGTTGAGTGTGGTAGTGCACTCCTGTAGTCCCAGCTCCTCAGGAGGCTGAGGCAGGAGAACTCTTTGAAGCCAGAGATGGAGGTTGCAGTGAGCTGAGATCACATCACTGCACTCCAGCCTGAGTGATAGAAAAAGACTCT